ATCTGGCTTCCAGCAGTGGGCCGATAAAATGGATAGTGTTGTTATTGTATCTTCAGATGAGACAAGAGATGTGGTTAACATTCCTATTTCACGCAATGGTAACAGAACTAGTATGCTTGGAGTAGTGTGTATGGATGGTTCTGCGTTACCTCCATATTTTATAGTTTCTACTAAAAGTGTTGAAAGGGAACTTGTAGAAAATGGAGTGACCAAGAAAAATGCCATTTTAAAATACTCAAAAAGGCAGTTATGAACACTTATCTATTCGAGGATTGGCTTGAAAACGTATTTGTTAAATTATTAAACGAAAAAAGAAAAATGTTTGATTATTATGGTGTGGCCATATTCATCATTGATGGTTATGGTTCGCATTTGAGTCGACATTCGGTGAATATAATGTCCAGGAATAATATTCGTGTCATGCTCATGCCGAGTCATTCGTCGCATTTATTGCAAGTTCTCGATGTTGCCGTGTTTTTCAACCAGAAAAGAGTGTGAATCTGAAAAAAGTTTCATGAAAGATTCGTTTTCTTCTTTGTCTTATCAATCACTTCAAATTCTATCAATAATAAACTCTTGGCAAAAAGCCACAACCACGAAAAATGTTATTGCAGCGTTTGTTGCTTGTGGTTTAGTTTCAAGACTACTTGACAATATGAATGTTGTGTGTGAGATTGTTCCAAAGTCTTGTACCAAAATTGATTGGTTTTTTGAAGAAGAAGAAATAAATGTATGTAAAAACAGGCTTCTTCTTGAAGGGCTCAGTGAAAGATTGGTAATGAAAAAGGTATTAAAAACTTTGAGACAAGAATCTCGGAAACGTGACAACTCAAAACTAGAAGAAACTTATGGCTTTATCTTGTTCAAAAACGAGAGAGTAAAAATTACACAACTTTGATAATGATTATTTAATTTATTTCATTTATTATTAATAGTTTAAAATGTTATTAGATAAATTATTTTTATGTTATTAAAAATATAGTTTTATTAATTAAACGTTTAAATACGTTTTTTTCTGAAGGGTTGGTTTCAGTGTTAGGTCAAACTTTTTAAAGACATTAACATTTGTGTTTTGAAGGTCTGTTTTATTTGTTTTATTCCATTGCAACACATTGACAAATTACGTTATTTATTCTGTCTTTATATTAACGAGAAGATTGAATTATGAATAATGTGTTATATTTATACTCCTCCATTAAATATGGACCCATTTAACCATGTAAATATTTTGCTCGATCTTCAATTTACTGAGTATTTCCACAACTTCCCATTATTATCAAATTGAGCTTTCTCACAGTTTATTTACTCTCATCTTGAGATCGTTCG